TCTGTAGGGAGTCTCTCTCTCTCTCTCGCTCTCTCCTCCTCTCTCTCTCTCTCTCTCTCTCCATGAATACAGAAAATCATGCAAAAGCATCACTTAGAGAAATCAGCATTTTAATATTTTAGTTGTGCTTTAAAAACCTTGATTCACATCCAGGCTTGGCAAGTTTCGAATCAGCTCAGCAAGTACGACTATCTCCCCCAAAAGAGGAACAGAAATATCACAAAAAAAGTGCTTAAAATGACAAAAAATGCCAACTTTGAGGAATTGAAAAAAACAATTTGTACATATTGAAAGAAAAACAGAATACTTAGAGATATTGAGGGGGTTTTAGAGTTTGTCAGGCATACATTCAATTGTCCAAATCACATTCAATGGAAGCATTCCAGACTACAAATATAAATGCGAAATGACTCAATATACAGCCAAAATGAATGGCTGGGAGGATTACAGTCATCCCAACCATGGTCATCCAAACGATTTCCATAATGGTTCAAGAATGATATGATAATTGGACAACTTCGGTAGCCCCTCCTAAGCTGAAGTCCCTAAAGCTAGTCCAACCCTCGAGCTCACTCCCGCCATGCTTTTCATGCTTGCTCACAACACCCCCATGGCCACCATCTTCTACTGCAATGGCCTCATCATCATCATCAGCTCCTCCACCACTTTCCTCTTGCTCCTCAACTTGTACACGTCCTCCCATAACTTGTACATCCTCAATCCAATCAATGGGCTCCAACTCTTTTTCCAACATCCTCTTATTGAGAATTGGCTCCCCCAATTCCACCAGCCACTACACCTCTAGATTCTCTATAAAGATGTGATCCAACTTGATAAGGTTGCAGTCCTCAACTTCCCTCCTCAGAAGTCAGTTAAAGAGGTTTAGGATGTAATGGATATCAACCCACTTGAGAAACTAGGTTGTAGCCAACTAGTGTGGAGCCACTGTCCTTGGCGTGTGGAACCACTGAGCTGACTCGGATTTACTTGCAGGTAAGAACATAGTCAACCTATTTCTTTGCTGAGGACTCTGGTCCACTCAGCGAGTATGACTATGTCCCTCCAAAATTTAAATGGCTATAACTATTATATATTTAAATATTAACAGGTCCGCCTGTTGCGTGAATTAGTCAGTGCAACAAGTTCATCAGTCATCAACTATATCCCATAGTTACAAATGGAATGTGCATGTTGCTTTCATGGCCTACTTTACACAATCGACTACTTCATACTGGAACAGGTAGCAGGCTCATTATCGGAGACCATCATCTCCAAAAATGCCACTGGAGGAGGTGTAGTTGCTACATTCTGCTCGCACTTATCAACAAACTTCCTGCTATAAATTACCTGTACAATTCTCTTGCAGTCGTAAATCCTTGAAATAAGGGCATTGATCCATTTTTCTAAGCCGAACATCTTTTTAAGACCAGCTTCTAACCTCAACATCAAATTGATGAAAAAGAACAAGGTAGCAAATCATGTGATGGCTAGTCTATGAGTTCCCTCCGTGTCTATTGCCTCATTAAATGAAAAATCATAATTACAAATGGAATGAGCTTGTTGTTTTCATAGCATACTTTACTGCTTCATACAAGAAGCCGTAGCAGGCTTGTTATCTCCAAAAATGCCCCTAGAAATTTACCTGCTACATTCTGCACACACTTAACTTAAAACCTCCTGCCATTTATTACCCATTCAACTTCTCTTGCAGTCCAAGTCCTTGAGATAAGGGCATTGGTCCATTCTTCTTAGTTCTTTGTAAGCCAGCTTCTAACCTCAATATCAAATTGATGGTAGCAAATCATGTGATGTCTAGCCTATCAGTTCCCTTCCCTCTGTGTATTTGCCTCATTAAACTTAGAACCCGCAATGGTTGTATCATGAATTTAGTAATGGTCTCCCCCTTCTCAACGTGGTCTATTACCTCCTTAAGCTACCCAATATCTTAGAAATGCGTTGGGTTATGCAGGTATTCTAAATGCTTCATCTTCTTGAACCTCTGTTCTGCATTGACGTAGTTCTTGCCATCCTCAATTTTCTTGACATCCTCAATCATTACTTGGACTATGTACTCCTCACCAACAACCTTTAGCACATTATCCAGTAGCAAGGACAAATAGTTTCCCTCTCTTCACCTTATTAAAGGCATCTATACAGAGATTAAAGATTGTTCACTTCCTGCTCATCACCTTATTAAACGCATCCATACATTTATTAAAGATTGTCCTCGTGAACTATATATCAAGAATTAATCAATGCTGTCCCATTATGTTCTTCAAGCCATCTGACAAGATGGTCATCCCTTTTTTTCTCCTAAATTTTCTTGTACTCATCCACAAACAGGCCAACCTCAGCAAACACCTCTAAGTAGGGTTCATTATGCTCATATGCAACAGAAGGATTGACTTTAGTCCCTGCATTAGCCATCATGGATATAATGGATTTGTGTACTCATTGTTGTTGCGTTGAAAGTAATGATAGCATCATATAAGAATCCTGCAGCATCATACAACAACCCTGTAATTGCCTTCATCGTGCACTTTCTTATAAGCATCATGAAACTCGACTTGAAAGCCCTCTGCTATGATGATGACCTTGAAAAGAAAGGGTCAAATTCAACAGGTAGGCAGCGTGCATTGAGAGGGTTGAGTGGACTAACAAGATTTTCTGATATGTGTTCCTCACCCCCTGCCCCTCAGCATCATGCTAGTAAACCCAAAAAAACCTGGTGCTTAGTCCCCGATATCATCAATAACACAATCAATGCTAGCGATACCATACCCCCAGCTTGTGCTAGCCTCAAAGAAACTCCACCTCTAAGCCTCCCATACTCTTTGCAGGTAATGCATATCCTCTAAACTTACCCTCATCACAAGTTTGAGACGAGCCTCAAACTCGTCCTCAAACTCATCATCTTGCCCTCTCAACTAGAGGTGTAGCACTGGCATGCAATCTCAACCATCTTTCTCACGGCCACCTCCTCCTTCACCGTTATGACATATACCACCATTTATGGCCTTAAGTTTGCTGGCACCTTTTAATAGGCCACAACATCACCTCTCTGAAAGTAGTAGCTATATAGAATTCCTGGGATATAAATTCAAATTTTCTCTTTTACTTTTATTCATAACCGGGTAATTCTACTTAGAATACCAGATTACACAATGGAAGCAGAAAATAAAACTTACTACAAGCTATGGATCTTAACTCTTAGTACCTTAGAGGCCAAAAGTATTCATAAACTAAATTCAATTACAAGTAGAATTCTACGTCAAATAAAAATCCTAATTCAAATAGGAATTCTATTACAAATTGAAATAAAAAACAATAAACTGAGAATTGAAATAGAAAATAAACAAGAAAAGTTGGGAAGACTTATGTGAAATTTGCCTAGGGTCACCGCCAAAGGACATAGCACAACAGGCATCTGATTATCAGACAGATGGAGCACTGATCCTTGGCCATGCTTGAGTCCTCCAAATCTCTGAAGCACCTATGGCAATACCCTCTCAGAAAGCATGAACAAACTAGGGTTTCTTGCCAACCCTTAAAGTTGAACTCAGAAGATCAACTAGGTTGGATGTCTCCTCTTCAGGCTAGCCTGGGTGGTCAAGCAACCTTCTTTATGGCCCTGTCTTGGGCAGAGCATCACCCTACTACAAGAGAGAGAGGATGCTGAGAGACAGAGAGAGAATGATGAGAGAGAGTGGTATGGAGAGGGAGGAAGAAGAGAGGAGTATCAAGTATGCAAAAACTACTGGTGGAATGAACAGGGTGCCCCCTTTTACATAGGGCCTCAGAGCCTAGGGTATGTCAACTTCTAATAGGACTCAAATTTGACCAATGAATTCCAAGTAATCCGTGAGTTCAATAGAGAATTAAGTCTGAGCCAATGTTCAAAAATGCGGATTCAGGTGCTTAGGCGTTTTGGGTGCCTGCCCGCCTAGCTTAGAGACAAGGTGCCTTCACCAAAATTGAAACCCCCCCACCCCAAACAAAAAAAAGGGGAGTTCTTAGGGCATGGTTTTAAGCCTTTGGGAGCTTTTAGAGCAATTTTAGAGCCCCAAACTCCTCGTGAAATAGATGAAAATATAATAGTACAATCACATAACTTATTTACGGATACATGTCTCAAAGAGATTGTAACTTGTAAGACATTAAAATACTTGAAATCCCAAATGTCATTGTAGGAAACTAGAAGTCTAGA